CAGGACCGGTCGGCGTAGCCTGATGGCGACCGCTTCTGCCGTAGCCAACAGATGCTGTCCAGGGATTTGTGAATAGCTTGAGGGCACCTTGTAGATCAATCGAAAGGCCTTGGCATCCACACGATCGTCTGAGTCTACCAGGTGCGCTAGAATGAATCTGTTTACACCCTTCAGTTGGCTCGTCCCTAAACATGCTGGAATGTGCTCTCTTACTCTTTTGGACAAACGCCGACTCGTGCGAACAATATATCCTGCCCCACTGGAACAGGTAAATGAATATATGCACATAGAGGTGGTCTTGGCTGGCAGTTTATCGTTGATCTCTCCGTATAGGATGGGAGTAGTCGAGAAAAATACATGGGCGTTGGCTGTCTGGGAAGGTGGTTGCTATAGCTTGACTCAGGCGCCTCCTTAGAAGTTCGCTTGATCCGTTCCCTTGAAATAGGACCCTGATGAATATTCGTTTCTTAGCTGCTGTTATCACTGAGGGCTTTGGCTGCCTTTCATCCATGTTTTTAGCGATAAATCGACTGGGAAACCCATTTTGTCGAAACACGCCTTCAACAATCTTACGCTCCTCTTCAACATCGTACTAAATTACGTTTGAAGTTCAATGGAACGAAGCTAGCAAAATGAATATTGTCCGGACCACGTCTTCTTGCGATATACCCTACATTGAATGTTTCCAGATGTCCTTTTACTCAATATTACATCAAGGAATGGAAGCGATCCAGATTGTTCTTCTAATGTAAATTTAATCGACTGGTGCGTCCGATTTACTGCACATATTACCACTGTTAGGTTGGTTTGATCTGGTGCAAACTGCGAATATATCGTCTACGTACCGCTTGTACTACGTTAGATTATTTATCCGGTAGCTAAGTTGCGTAGCTTCTAGTTTTCCCATGGATATATTTGCTAGGAGTGGGCCCAGGGTCGATCCCATAGCTACTTCGTCCTGTTGCCTGTGCAGGTTGTTGGAAAATAGGAACTGTACATTCTGTTAGGACGGCCTAACGAACAGCCTTAACAAGCAGTAATTTGCAAGCCATGGCCACACTCCAAGCAGGCTATTGATCGGCCTACACGGGCGAACGTACACAAGCCGTCAATCGATCGACAGTTCAGAATTTAAACTACAGGCATCCACTGACCAAACAATGGGACCGGCCACTATTTCAGAAGACAATCTGATTGGTTCGTGGACCTATCTTACACACGTTCGTTTTCCTAAATGGGTTGTACCTCTAACACTCAAAGACTTCTCCTTTCCGCACACTTCTTGCTGTGTTCTCTCTTTGGGGGCTCACATGAGGCGTAGCTAGACGGCGAATATTTTGGCCCGGGCTTCCGCTACAACAATTTTGCCACGCATTGCGCGGTGGTTCTCGGCCTGGGCCTCCGTTACAACACATTCAAGGTACATTGTAGCGGTAGTTCTTTCAGTGCAGGTACCAGCAAAAGTATGTCCTGCTGATTCAAGGTACTGAATTCACAGATGTTGTCTACTGTTTCTTTGACCGGCACCTTCGGGAACAGAGACGAGACATCCAGTGAGAACATCATCAGCCCAATCAGGTCGAGGTCCTTCACGCCGTCCACGAATTCAAAGGTGTCTCGGAGGCTGTGAGGCGCTATTTGACTCTGCATGGGTTTCAGCTTGTCTGCTAGCCATTTTGCCATTGCATGGTATGGCGTGTTTCTCATGTCTAGGATGAGACGAACGGGCACGCCATCTTTATGAATCTTAGGCAGCCCCACACCCCCCAACGACCCTGACAACAACACTACATCTGTCCACCAACCAGCATAATTTATTTATTTCATCACCATATAAATGTAAAGGCCTGACGAGAATTTGTCGAAAACAACGTATGTTCACTAATTTATCTTCTGACATTTTCAATTGGAATTTTAGCAAATTTAAAACAACGCTATGTTGAAATGATGAAAATGAGCGCATTGGTGTTTTGTGTGAGCAGCCAGCTAAACAGCAGAAATAATTAGTGTTGTAAGATATATTTCACTCCCATTAACAATTTGACCATTTAAAACGAAAGTTGGCAATCTTTATAAAATATGGTCATCTAAGACAGAAGCAGTGAAAAACTGTTATGATGAAGTAAGGGGCAGAGTTCAGTGAGTCCCTGCTTGCAAAAAAACTGCCTGAGGTAAAAATGTTCCGCGAAAAGACGTGGAACATAAGAGTGGATTTATACTGCACAGTAAAAGAATCTCCTTGGGTACTTTTCGTAACATCTATAAGTTTATTAGGCTTCGAGAATTTTTAAGGATATAATAAAAAGCTCTCTCTTATGGGGTAGGAGCAAACATCAGGGATGCGAGACAAAGGGAGTCTATCACGGGCATCATCAGTACGCTCATAGTCGAAATAAGGAGGGGGCCGTAGATCATCCCCGAAGTGCTGGTGTTGCGACTATGATAGGCCCTTGGCGATTGCAAAGTCGGCCGACAAGGTGGCGAAAATAGAAGAGTCCGTTCGATCGTTAACAGTTCGTTGCGGCTTAACCTAAGGAAAAACATTATAGGGCCGCGTAGACTACGGCCACAAGGCCCAGCAGATGTGATGGCTGAGGCTATCATCGCGATTCGCATAAGGTAAAATTAAAGAAACCAAGAAGGCAGGAAAGTCGAAAGTTTGTATCTAACTATCACAACGAAGTACGCTCCGCCACTGCCACTTGCAGTTACGTACTGTCCCCTAAAAGAAATTTCCGAACCGGATGTCCTTACCCTGAGTGGCGTGAACAAGCAGACTTGAACAGATGTGCTTATTGTTGGAAACTTGAACTCTCCCAAGACTGACTGGCAAACTAGGTCTGCTTTAAGTTTACACGGTACATTTGGTCATTGTTTGCTTGAGATGGCAGCGGGAAAATTACTTTGCCAGAATATATCCTAAGGAGGACACGTTAGAGGAAGACAATGTTCAAAGTAGCTGGACCTTGTGTTCACCAGAGATTAGGAGAGCTTGCTGATGCTAGAAGATCACTTGCCAATAGGTTCTAGTGGGCATATTGTACCGCTCTGTTAGTGTTTAATGTTCTCACGGCCTGAATCCCATTAACCATCTTGAAGGGAGGTGTTTCAGCATGCAGATGCAAATCTTCGATTACGTTCAGTTCATTGGTTAGAAGAATTATTAATCTGAATTGTCTACAGAAACGATATAAAACAAACAACCGTCCACCATGTTTAAATCGTGAACCTCATATCTTCTTTAACAGAAGTAACAAGATGTGGTACGGATTTCGAATGACGGGGAGTGTCGAATACTTGTAAGAAAAAAGACAACGGGGTGTCTCTAAGAGAAATGCAAATGGACTCCGAAGGATCTAGGAGCTAACCATTCTGCAAAAATATTTACAGCATCTCAAGAACTTTTACAGTTACATACGCAAAAACAGAAATCGTGACCCGATTCCAGCACTTTGGTCTCAAAACAGAGTATTGTAGACAGAGGCCAAATGAAAGCTCCAGTCCTCATCTACTTGCTTTTAGAGAATTGGTCGACCTATTGTTTTAATCTACTTAAAGTTGTTTATTATTATATAGCAGCCGACCTGGTAGGTCTCATCTGGTTTTGTAAATGCATCCTTGGCGGGTAAGTCACTTTTTCCGGTACCAAGTTGTTGCACGTGTCTGCTCCTGCGTTTTCTCTGTTTTAGTCCAAGTCTGCGAAGAAGAGGACACTCCCGCCCCTGTGGACGTTCCCATCGCCACTTCCCCACTAGAATCTGTTAACTGACTTTCCTGCCTCTGGACAGTACTTGGCATATTGACTCTGCTGCGATTTCCCTGTAATTCTGTCAATATACTGTGTCTTTTCCATTCCCATTTGGACTCTTACCGATTGCCTGCCTGAGTGATGGAGCCTCACAATAGCAACGACTGTGAACCTGGACAGAGTGAAGAAGAATTCAAGGATGTTTTGGAAAAGGTTGATCCAGGGCATGCCACCTCCTCTAGGTCGGGCGTTACAATTATTTTCAGGTTTTCGTACATGTTCTAATTCTAGTTTGCGAGGAATTATCAGTCTTTTGTAAACTTCGGCACTTCGCATTGGATAGGTCGCATACTAAACATCACTTGGCGTTGTATGGAGAAATGAGCCCAAAAGCTCAGGATGTTCACGTTGAGTTAAGCTGCCAATTTTGTTTTGCGTTCACTGGAAATATTTTTATACACTGTAACTGTATTTGCTTCACCAGACCAAAACCGCACACGTATACCTTCAAGCGTTTGGCTGATTCTTACACATACATATTTTCCAGTTTTATAAGACAGTCTACTATACTCGCCCTGTTCTGCCTCGTAACAAATGTTTTCGCGC